TTTTTTTTTCCAGAGTTTGAAACCTGGTTGAAAAGTCAGAGCAGTTTCTTCTTTTCATCTTCTTGATCTTACAGTAATGGCTCGCACTCGCACAGTAGTATTACCATGGTATTATGAAATAGATATATCATAGTAAATACCTCCATTATTTTTTGTGTATTTATAATAATTGATCAGAATAATCTGGTTTTTTTAATTATTTATTGATTTATTATTTTGTAGTTTGGGTCTTTGTATTAAGAGATGGTTCATATCTGGACAAAGGAACAAACTCATACCTGGTCAGGTTCTCTATTTCTGCAGGGATATTCTTCAATCTGTTTCCTCCAAGTGACAGAGACTGTAGTGTGGTCATTTTGAGAAACTGCATGGGAATGTCCTCAAACCTGTTCCCACTCAGATTCAGAGTCTCTACCTGCATGCGTTCGAACTCCTTAGGGAACGAGGACTCGTCCAGAAGATTGTTCTTTGCTACAAACGTCTTTAGGTTTGTTAGGCGCATAATGTCATCTGGTATGACTGTGAGCGCATTATTGCTGATATCCAGGTATTCCAGGTTGAACAGAAAACAAACGGAAGGTGGAAGAAACGATAAACGATTGTAAGTGAGATGCAGCTGCTGGATTTGTTGTCTTTTACTGTCCGTGAGATGATCCAAGCTCAAGTCGTCCAGATGCAGACGCGATAAATATAAAACAGAACACTTGTCGTCCATGCTTGGGAAACGAGCCATATGGACTAATTAGTACAGCAAAATAATAAAATAGGAATACAATAAAGCAAAGGATCAGACTTTTTAATGGTGCAACAATCTAAAAAGTTATCGCCTCGGAATTCTTGTCTTGAGCCATACACATATTATATTGACTAAAGTGACTAAACTGCAGCTGTGCGAAGGGCGCTCCTGAGTCCTGACCGAAGACTTTGGTTTTATCTGTACTGGAGTGCGCGCATGTGTCACGCGGCACGCCTCCTGCAGTCAGTGGTTGGTCATCCAGGGGCCAAACATGACTATGAGGCTCTTATGCGACCCTGCACGTCGGTGTTGCCAGACGTACGATAATTATCGTATTTGTTCGATAACTTTGACCTCTGTACGATGCATGATTAATAATGAAAAAAATTATAATCCCATAATGTACAATCATTTCAGAATTTTGTGACACTTCAAATGATGGCAGTTGTAGCTAATCATAGGGCTTCTATACTCCTACACAAATAGTCTCATTACAGCAGAGGCGGACAAAGTACTCAACTCCATTACTTGAGTGAAA